TGCGCATTGATCACTTGGATGGAAAAAAACCAAACCTGCCTGCCGGGCGTACACAAACACAGAGGAATACAATGCAAGTCTTGACATTATCTGCACATAAAATAGATGTACGGAGTGGTGCTAGCAATTGCTGCGAGAATATATAAGGTAGAGTATACAGGTGCAAAGGTGCAGGCCTGCAACTGCCGGCTCACGCCACTGCTGGTGGAATGACCTCCACAAGGCGGAGTTCAAGAGAGGCCCTGCAGAGGGGATGTTGGCCTACTCTTCTTTGCTGGAAAGATGTCGTGAAAGAGGTGGAGTACCCACACTTTATCCCACCACGAGTGGCATACCACTCTGTGGTCGACTAGCCGTTTATCCTGCTGGAGTGGACAGAGGAATAGAGCTTTCAGACACGTGCACCAGGCTTTCAACTGCCGTGCATAGAGATAGAATTTAACCGATGACCTCTTGAAATAAAGATGCGGTGCATCTGATGTCTGTTGTAAAAGCAACATGTCAAGTTTTCAATACGAGGGCTTTTCAAAATCAACGTTCTTATGTTGACTTTCACCACCGGTCTCTTTTGTTGCCCTTAGATTCCTCAATATTTATGTATGTCCTTGGCAGCGGAAATAGGGCAGATGTGATTGACTGCGATAGTCTGTAATAGACGGTGTTTTATAACGGATGTTTTTTTTATTTTCAGTTCCATGAAGTTGTTGGCCCAAATGAAAATCAACGAGTAAAAAAACTCCACCTTTGCATTAAAAAAATAGTTTGCTTTTATAAACATATATATATATATAACCAACTAGAAGACATGATATTATATAGGCCTTTCGGTAAAGTCACGTAGATGGGTTGAAATAAAATAACAAAAAATAGAAACAAGGTTGAAATAAAATAACAAAAAACTCCGACGTTTCGATCGCAACGGAAGCGGTCGTCATCCTGCTGATGCCATGCGGTCATTCCATCCTCCTGATGCCATGCGGTCATTCCATCCTCCTGATGACATGCGGTCATTCCATCCTCCTGATGACGACCGCTTGCCTTGCGATAGAAACGTCGGAGTTTTTTGTTATTTTCTCTGAACCTATCTACGTGACTTTACCGAAAGACCCATAGAATATGAATTCTTGCAGGCACGAAAGCAAGATTTAGGACATATGCTCATTACTGATTTAAATTGTCCTTGAAACATGGGTGTTCATCATGTGTTTAAGAAAAATCTTTGCGGCCTTTCCCCCCCTAAATTGCACATCGTTACAAATATATAGAGGAGCCACACAGAACTCCCTCATAGAGAGCGGCCCTTCTGTCAGCGGCGTAAGGGGCAAGATATTGCAGGGGCTGCACCTTTACCTTAAGTACATAATTACAGGACGTTGAGGTGATGCTGTGTGTGCCTGTGCCTTAGGTAATTTTACACGGTGTTGTCTCTTGTATTATTTCAGCTATAGAGTACTTCGTGTGCCGTTATCCATTGTAAATACAGAGGGCACAACATGCAGAGGGCAGCCAAGGTCGTGTTTTTATAACTATAGCATATTCCAGACATTAGTGCAAGATTATAAAGCCTTGATCTCCAACATAACTCGACGCTTAATCCTACCCCTGTTTAATTGTTTGCTAATAAGTTACTACATTATTACCCTGCATATTCCACGACAATGCTCAGTGACATTCTGTAGAATATTGTTTTCTATGCTTATGGCCAGTCGTGTAGAGAGAGGACACTTACCAATAACATGCAGCAAACCAGCAGGATATGTTTAGCACAGTGGACTCTGCTGATGAGCCCAAGATGGGTAAAACTGGTCCAGAGTTTGGACATGCTGATCGTTACCCTAAGTCTGTAAGGCCCCAGAGGCCGCTCAAAGATATTTTAAGGAGAGCGATGGAACAGAATGTGATTTAATTAATGTGCTACTAATTTATCTCTGTTAATTGAAGTCATTAGACTTATCCAAAGCATATATGCTCACCAACCCAAACCAAATATATGACAACTTGGTCTGTAACGGGAACATTTATGCTGAATGGTGATAACTAAAGATATTAACTTTTTTTCTAGGTCATTCTGTTTGTAACGGGCAATTATAAGATCGGATGCGACAGGAGCCCAGCCTCTCATCGGGGGAAGCACGTGTTTGCGCGATAACGCGTCATCTCACGCGGCGTTTTAAATCAGCCGCTACATCAACGGTCGCAATCGAGATCTACTCTTGTCTGGTTCACGGCGAGCACGCAGGCTTATCTGTAAACAAATATCCGACCCGCATCGCAGGAAGCCATCGTACAGCGGTACATACAGATACACAACAAAACCCCCACGCTGCGTCGCAGGATGATAACGGTTATATCTCTGATGTGCGTTGGGTTGTGCCGCATCTTGTTCGGCACAATGTCCGACGTTCCGCTCCTTGTGCTGTGAGCTTCTTTCGGGAAGTGAATTCGCTTCTCAACATCAGACATTGTGCAGAACAGCACGCGGGGAAACCCAAAGACACTGACCAGCGTAACCTGCCGAAACGTGCGCAGGAATAGAGAGAGATTCACTCTTCAAATTCCTCCCAAATCACACGTGCCACACTTGCCACGCACGCAATTACAGTCGACGCCACTATTCCCATTTAGTTGTTCCCTTCAAACAGATCACTGTCCAGTTTGGCACTTGGTGACGCGTCCATCAGGACTGGTGTCATGTTCTTTGCACACAAGGGCGACAGAAGACTCCCTGACCCAGAACAAAGTGTCAAACGATGTCGTCTTGAGTGGCACGGAGATGGGCCAGGAGGTGCCTCTGTGCACAACGAGACACGTGCGTCTCTCGTTGCACTTGGGACAATTGGCAGTGTCATGTGCGATCGGTGATGCTGCAACAAATATCAACTCAACTCGAGATTATCCGGGGTAATGTCTTATGGCCTGGATAAAACAAATAGATCATCCAACATTCGTTTAAATTCGGATACAAAACGTAGTTTTGTTCACCTATGTTAGACGTAGAATGCACCGTCTCGGTTTAGTCGCCTTCATGTTGTGCACTCACGTGACCACCGATTTAACTTATTGGCTTTGAAAGAATATTGCAGCTTCATGGCAGCTTCAAAAAGTTTTTACTTTTGCTGTGTCTTGCGACTTACAAAGCGAACGTTCAATTCGACGTTTCCGCTCCTTGGCATGAAGTGGACACTTTCGCTTAAAATATTTCACAGTATTAACAGAAGCTTTTAAGGGCACATACCCAAGGGTAAGGGAGTTGATCAATGGTGCAGTGGTTAGCATGCTGGGTTACAAACCTGAGTTTAATATCTGTCCACGACTAACATCAGTGATGAGTGATCAGGGCCCCCTGCCTGCAATAACCCACACACTGGCCACTGTGGTGAAGTATGGTCAAACAGTCCAGCCATCTGCAAGTCTAGCCATGTAAATATGAATTGATTATTTCAATGAAATGACACTTTAAGTCCATGACAAAATAAATTATTTCATATTAAATCACGTGCAAATGCTAACTTCATTCTAAAGCAGGTTGAGACGTACCACGCGGAGCAGGAGACGCAAGCAGACAGAAGTGAGATGAATAATCAATTTGATTTTTCCAATAAAATTTCAGGGAAAGGACGGTGAATCATTTCCCAATCAGTGTGCAGCAGCAGCGTGATCTCAGACAATATGCGATCGCATTTTTCAAAAGCGTCAACTCTCAACTGTCCATCGTTTGTGTATAACAAACACCTGCCACATCAGCAGACACGGAAATAAAAGATCAAGACGTTACTGTGTCTGGTAATGACCTTCATCGTTCATTAACTACAGTGCAGAACTATCTCCTGAAACTATCCACAATTGACTGACACTGCCGTATAAGTGAAACGTGTGCAGTAAAACAAGCGCACGTTTTGGGCATCAGCATGTTTCATGCTTTGCGGCAACATTTGAAAGTGCGAGTGTTCCAGCTCCCTGTAGAGATGCATTTCGAACTTCTTTCGCGCCGCACGTCGGCAACCGTGCCAATCGGAGGTGTGGGGACCTCACGTCCGTCCGTCTGTGTCTGTAATAGCAGCACGTGGCAACTCTCACAGAGGTGATCCAATATGAATGAGCCTGTGGTTGAAAGTTGTCTTGCGATAATGGACTATTAAAACCAGCCCAAGGGTTACCCCAAACTTGCAGACACAAAACCAACACTGAAAGGGGCAACTTGCAACACGCAACTTGCAACACGCAACTTGCAACACGCAACTTGTAACACGCAACTTGCAACACGCAACTTGCAACACGCAACTTGCAACACGCAACTTGCAACACGCAACTTGCAACATGCAACTTGCAACGCGCTCATCTCGTGTTGCCCTGAAAGTTGCCCCACTGGCTTCCGTATTGCAAAAAAAACATTTAAGAGGACAGCCGCATGTTTGTGAAGCGTTACGTAAACCATACGCGTGCGTGATTTATCTTCATTGCTTCGTCGTAGACAGGGGTGGGATCGTGAACTTGTAGATGGATACAGTAATATTCTTCACGGTTGATCGAAACAGGTGGCTAAACTACAGCGGGGAAGACAAGGTGTTATAGAATTGTTGTCGAAAATGTGTTTCGTGCATCTAGTTACATCTTCTATAACAATGTTTGTAAACGGCGTTCGTAAAGCCAGGAACGGGTTCTTGTAAAGGAATATTTCTCGGGTACATCAAAATCTATGGTGGTGTCTCGTAGCGGCGATCGTAAGCCAGGTACGAGGACAGCGCGTGTGAGGAATGGGTTCTCTGCGTATAACCGAACTTCAAAGTTGACGGCAGAGTTTGTGGCGCCGACGGAAAGCCGCCTCTTCCGGGCACGCTCCGGTCAGAGGTGCAGGGTCTGCGTCGACGACCGCGTCTCCTGCGAGCATCGTCCCCTCAGGAGCAACTCTCCTCGCCCGTCCGCAGCAGCCGGAGGGAACCCGTCGCGCCGTGCCAACCTCGGCGCGCACTCTTCTGTGGCCGACCGCCCCCCCTGAAAACCGCGCGCGGGTCTCGCGTGGGGGCCGCCCTCCCTCCGCGGCTCAGCCCGGGTCGTGTCGCCGACATTTGTCGCTCGCGGCTCGTCCCCCGCGCCGCCGCCGCCACCGCCGTCGGGGTTCTCGCGCCGCACGCGGCTCGCCGGAGCGACGCTCGCGCGGCCGTCGGCGTCGCCGGCGTCGCGGCCGAGGCCGGGCAGCCGCACGTCCAAGCGGGAGGCCCCCCGCGGGCCGCCGAGGCGCCCGTTGAGCAGGTAGAGCTTCTCGGCGACGTCGTGGGCCACGAGCAGCGAGAAGAGGCGCGCCGCGTAGCGGTCGCTCGCCAGCAGCAGGTACAGCTCCCTGCGGCGCCACGACACGAAGCGGCACGCCGTGTCGGCCGTCAGCGTCACCTGGCACGTGGAGGAGAGAGCACGGAGGATGGGGGGGTGTTTGATGGTGCCAGACTCACCGTCTTGTCTACGCGTGCACGTTGGACTTCTTTCGCACCGTACGTAGCCAACCGGTTCAATCGGAGGTGCGGAGAAACGACGACAAACTGAACACAAAAATAAGTTCTTAGTAAATTAGTTTTCAAATTTAAAAGTGCATAGCTCCAGTCACTTTATAATATCGGAAGAAGGAGCGTTCTAGACGGCTGTAGAAGCACGTGTGAAAGAGCCGCGTGACGCGAACCAAAAGCCTCTGCTGCTAAGAGGATACATCACACTGCACTTAACCACCGGACTGTGCTGCTCTCTACTGATCAACACGTATCCCACAGAGTCCTACTGATCAACTCGTATCCCACAGAGTCCTACTGATCAACTCGTATCCCACAGAGTCCTACTGATCAACTCGTATCCCACAGAGTCCTACTGATCAATACGTATCCCACAGAGTCATACTGATCAACACGTATCCCACAGAGTCCTACTGATCAACTCGTATCCCACAGAGTCCTACTGATCAATTCGTATCCCACAGAGTCCTACTGATCAACTCGTATCCCACAGAGTCCTACTGATCAATACGTATCCCACAGAGTCCTACTGATCAACACGTATCCCACAGAGTCCTACTGATCAACTCGTATCCCACAGAGTCCTACTGATCAACACGTATCCCACAGAGTCCTACTGATCAATACGTATCCCCACAGAGTCCTACTGATCAACACGTATCCCACAGAGTCCTACTGATCAACACGTATCCCACAGAGTCCTACTGATCAATATTCAAGCTGCGTGATATCCTGGCTCTGTGGTATTTCTTCTGATATACTCCCTGAGTGATATGTTATCTCAGCTATTTGGATATCCTTGTGGAGGTATCAAGGTCACATTTGCATGTAATCACAACCAACCTGGTTGTTAATGTGTTGTATCTGAACTATAAACTACAATTTAAAAAAAACATTTATTTTGTCCCACTGAGCTATATAGCTCTTTTTCAGAAGTAACCTGACCACAAGTGATAGCTAAACGAAGTGGCTTACACCAAATACTCTAAACGCACGTTTCTAAATGTGTAGGGAAAAGCGGAGGACCCGGAGAAAAATCCACGCGACCACGGGGAGAGAGACATGCAAACTACAAATATACAGCAGCAGGCGTCAGGGTTGGAATCGAACCCATGCCCTCCTCTATACCAGGCGAGGCAGTTCACATCTCACCACCACAAGCAGCTCACCACCACAAGCAGGTCACCACCACCAGCAGCTCACCACCACAAGCAGCTCACCACCACCAGCAGCTCACCACCACAAGCAGATCACCACCACAAGCAGCTCACCACCACAAGCAGCTCACCACCACCAGCAGCTCACCACCATCAGCAGCTCACCACCACCAGCAGCTCACCACCACAATCAGCTCACCACCACAGGCAGCTCACCACCACCAGCAGCTCACCACCACAATCAGCTCACCACCACCAGCAGCTCGCCACCACAAGCAGCTCACCACCACCAGCAGCTCACCACCACCAGCAGCTCACCACCACCAGCAGCTCACCACCACAAGCAGCTCACCACCACAAGCAGCTCGCCACCACAAGCAGCTCACCACCACCAGCAGCTCACCACCACCAGCACACAGCCACACACGAGCTCACCTGGAACTTCCCATCTTCGGACGGCCTCAGGGACTCCCATTCTGGGGCATCCAGGAACTGGTAGGGATGGATGAAGTGCAGAAAGTGGCCTTCCACAGTCACCCTTATCCTGGGGGTTAGACAGTGACGGACACCGACAAGACTCGGGTGTGACGACGCTCAGTGTTCGTCTGTGTGCGTCAGATACAACACGAACTCATCCATTGTTATGGAGGACCGTGAGTAGTGGTTAGCGTGCTGAACTTGCAATCCAAAGGTCACCAGTTTAGTCTCCTGGCAAGACGGTATAAATAGATCTCTTCAAACCCTCCTGTGGTGGGGTAAAGTGTGGGCATAACACATCTTCCAAATCGTCTAATGATGGTGGTGATGGTAATGATGGTGGTGCAGGCGGTGGTGCAGGCGATGGTGCTGACGATGTTGATCATGATGATATAATAGTAATGATGATAGTCAGTATGATGACAGTGGTGGTGGTGCTAATAGCAATGATGATGACAATGATGGCAGTGGTGGTGGTGCCGGCGAGTGAGCGGAACACCTGCCAGCCAGGAGTATGGAGAGCCTGTCGATGGGTGTGATGCCCTCCATGGCGTAGAGGTGGTGGGGCTTGAGAAGCAGAACCTCTTGGGCGCTGCACGCCATGACCCTGCGGAAGGCTTCTCGTGGTACCTTGGCCAGCGCGACACACGGACAGGAGGAGGAGGAGCGTAACGCCCGTCAGCCGTAACCAACTCCTCACCCAGCCGTGCTGGCCAGCGTGCTGAGGTCTTGGCTTGTGTCAGGCCTCTTGCAGTGACACAAGCTGCCCAATAGAGCGGTGAGTGCTGGAGTGGTTAGCGCCGCTGCACTTTGAACCCGGCGATCCGAGTTAGAGTCCCGCTCACGGCCAACACCAGTGACGATTATCTGAATCGGTCCTGGGCCTCCCCTAGGTCGACTCAGCCTCACTAGGAAGACAAAGGCCGCCGGGTGTGGTGCTGGCCATCCACCCCCTCGTGTGCCGTGCCGGCCTTCATAGGTGCCTCACTTTACAGCACTTGCTCTAACGTGTCATGTTGAACTTCTTTCACACCATATGTAGCCAACATACGGTGCGGGGTAAGGACATCAAACTGAACATTCGTATTTGTGTTTATCTGTATCAATGTGTGTCTATATGAATAACTCTATACAGACACGCACTTGGCCTGACAGTCTGGTAAAGGCTATCGGGGGGATCTTTGTCTGTGTGTGCAAGACGAGAGTGCGGTGGTGTCGCGCTGAGCGCGCTGCGCTACAAAACCAGCAGCCTGAATCCAATCGCCGATCACGGCTCACATCAGTGGCGAGCGGAACCTGATCCAGCCCTAGCCGCCCCACTCCACCTCCTTCCCCAAGCCATGCTGACCAGTGCGGTGAAGTATGCTCAAACAACTCCCATGACTCATACAGCAGTGGCACGGGGAGTTCTTTAATGTGAACACTGTGGTTGTTATGAAAGGCCGCGGTGTGATGTTTGCAACACTAAGCTGTGATTCTTTTTTTGGCCAAAATTTGTCAACTGTTTCATTTGGTACCTGGAGAGGCTGAAAGATGCTCGTGTAAAGTTCTTCAAAGGCTTGGTCCAACTGCGCCGGTCTCAGTTGGTATGCGAGATAGAACACCTGCAGCGATGACACACGTGTGTGTGTATGTAGTATGTGTGTGTGAGTGTGTGTATGTAGTGTGTGAGTGTGTGTGTGAGTGTGTGTGTGTAGGCAGAATCAACTTCATCATCCGGTCAGTCACGCAACGTTGTTTTAGTCAATCCACCTGCATGGAGGAAACCAAACGGAAGAGACTTTATGGAAAATGGCCAAACAAAGGCAGAGCGCAAGACTCGCAGTGTGCACGTGGAACTTATTTCGTGCCGTACGCAGCCAGCCGTGCTCATCGGCGGTACGGGGGGAGGACGACAGACGAAAGACTCAGTCCGCGTTTGTTTCGAGTTCACAGAGAGATGTCGACACAGAGTTATCCACACACACTCGTAGAGATATGCTGTACGCACACCTTTCGAGTCTGTATCTGTATAGCGTGACTCAAATACTATACATACACTGATACAGATGTATTACACTGACACAGATGTAGACACACTCGTGGCATGTGTCTGTACAGGCAGCAGAGGGTAATTGTGACCATAGGCTCAGTCCTCCCATCATGCATTGCCATGTCAGACCACCAACTCAAAGTGAGAAGAGTGGGACCTCTAGATCAGGGGTCGGCACTTTTTTAGAGTTATATTTCAAGAGCCGTAATGGCACGTGAATACGAGAAGGTGGTGCTCCTTACTAACTTGACGAAGCAGCCGTTGCAGGTTGCGGACCCTTGCTCGATATTCTGGCCGGGAGTCAATTGTATCGAAGTAAGCCCTGTCTGCTGCTCTAGATTTTGAAACGGTGCGTCCTCCTTGGCTCAAGGGTTGCCAACCTGTTCCCACCTCATCGAGTCTTAAGCAACTTGCATCTTGACAACAAAGAGAAAGAAAAGCTCTCGGCCAGCTGACTGCGGTGGCGTTCGTCCTTTGCCATTCTTGCCATCCTTGCCATCCTTGCCATTCGGCGATTTGGAGGGCCCCGGGTGGTGGATCGCAGAGAGATTCGTGAAACGCAAATAGCGGCTGTGCTGTGAGGTGGCCAAGAGAAGTGAGTTCAGCAGGGGGTAAGCGTGGTTCACTAGAGCCCTGGTGAAATACATTGAATGGGGGGCCCCTGTCCTATTTACCCCCCTCTACTTTACGTATGCATTCCAGACGGCCGCAGTAGCGCATCTAAAAGCGCGCGATGCAGTGGCCGTTTTTGTCCGATGTGTAGCCAAAATCCGCTGCGAGGATGACCGGAGTTTGCGTGATGGTGTATGCTCCTTGACAAGATCAGGCAGGCATTGTGGTTCATTTGCGACCTCGAAATGTGTCCCTTCGACAACCGGCGCCTGGGCCTCTCTAACCCGTGGTGCTGCGGTGCTGCGGTGCTGCAGTTGCACCACGTGCACACTCCACGACGAAGCCAAGTTTAAGTTATTTTGTTCAACCAGCGGTGGGAACTCAAGATTCCAGGGACAGTCTCACTTGCAAGAGTGTGCTGGGTCACCAAACATGGCGAAGGCAAAACAAACGAAATAGTAAAGGTCACCGCAGCCAAGAAGCAAACAGGAATAGAACAACAAAGAAACAGCCGCGTCGCATGGCAGATCTAAAACATTGCACAATCACAAATCGGTGCCACATCATCAACTCCCCGCAGCGCCCGTCGTGGGTCTTCTCCGAGTACTTCGGCGTCCTCTCGTTTACAAGACACTCCGTCTCGCGGGTGGCTCTCGCCTGAATGTCAACACTTTACTTGCCACAAACAGTTGGGCTACGAGCAAAAATGCGCGCCTCCCCTGTACGAGACTCGGCGGACCCTTCCTGTATAAATAAATATGAAATTATTTTTTTATTAGTAGAGTGGCAGCATGGGAATAAACGCAGGCTCACGGCGTTCCCCTTCACATTATTGCCAAGTCAACTTGTTTATTTAAAAAAAAACATACCCTGAGTTCTGTCTATAAAGCTACCGACTCCACCAGGGAACCAATGGCCCTTGGGCCAAATGCTAACTCTGACTTAATTTCACATGAGGACGACTACCGAAAACAACATTTATTATTTACTGGAAACATATGAGCCGTAACAATCGAATACCAGAGGGGAATATTTTAGAAGTTTAACATTCTCAGTCACTTCTGTCACTACAAGGGCCTCTTGTAGTGACAGACGTGACTGAAGTGTGTGTTAGTAATGTGTGGCTGGCCAAAGGAATTTGAAATTCTCATTCGTTTCTCAATAAATGAAGAGGTTTCCCCACCACTGATCTACACACTGGCCCATTGGTCATTACCAGAGTTGTCACAATGGGAGGGAGAGGTGTCCATGTGTCGACCATGCTGGTTGTGGATGCTGGTGGCAATGGTGCTCGTGGTGGTGGTGGCGGCACTGGTAGTAAACCTCAAATGAGTAGCTGGTGCGGTGTGTGAACATCACCACTGGGGAGACAAAGGCGGCGGTGCGTAGTGTAGGTCACGCACCCCCTCGTGTGCCGTGACAGCATTCATCGGTGCTCGCTAACAGCACTTTCCCCAGCAGCCTGTTGGGGCTATAGGGGGATCTTTGTCTTTGTGTAGTGTAGCGAGCGTGGGGCAAGGGGGTGCTTTGCGCCCCCCCCCCCCCCCCCCCCCCCCAGTGACGAAAACTACGAGTCGGGGCCCCCTTGACAACCACCATGAGATCTGTTTTCAACAGCAGTGTAAAAGAACAAACACTTATTTAAAACAGAGCGCCCCTACAGCGCTAAATGTTCGATACCGTGAGCGTAACGGCGATGTGATTGGGCAAGATGAGCCGCGATATACAATAGCCTCAGTGCGACCATGCGAGACGAATCACACCTTGGGGCTCCACGTGAGCCATCGCGGCCACAATGTCGCTACCTACGCCACCGGGAAGATAGCAGGTGAGGTGCAGAGCGCTCACCTGGCCGAGGCACGCCGCGAGCAGCAAGAAGTTCCACCCGAATGCGTCGATGGCGCAAGCGTCGAGCCAGGCCCAGACGACGAGGCAGAGGAACGCGGCGCCCAAGAGGCCGTACGAGTAGAGGCGGCCCGCGAGGCCCGAGCCGCCCGTGGCGCCCAGCAGCATGCAGACGGAGGCCAGCTGGAAGACGGCGCCCTCGGCCCCGCGGCTCCACGCGCGGCACTTCGCGTGCCCCTCCGAGAGAGGCCCACTCTGGTCGCTGCTGCTCATGTCCGCGCGGGTCGCAAGTCACGGTGGCGGTGCCAGCCAAGGACAACCACGAGATCGATCTTCTGTCCGATTCGGACACCACAGCGTTGATGTTTGCCGTTGTTGCTAATTAAGTTGTGAACCTCGTGGGATCTTCGTTTTCTATGACTTCTTCATTTTCTTCTTTCCAAAGCCACTGCGATCTCATGTGTTCATCACGAGTGAAGAGGCATTAAGTCACGGCTCTAGGTGTAGTCCATGTCGGCAGCCGTGCAAGTTCAGCTCTTTTCGATCTTGGATATGTCTGCAATAACCATACAGCGCGATGTTGTTTATAAGACGGCAGTCAACTGATTTGTTTAAGTCTTCAGATGACTAATGGAATCCACCGATGTCAAATGAATATCCTTGGCTTGTTTTGGGTACCGGCTGGACATTGTCACAGATCCACGTTACCAACCGTGGCAGATGTATCCTGTTAACCGATAAATGCCTCCGCACGCAATGAACTCATTGCCGTTGAGTTACGGAATGAGCATCAGATGTACACTTCACGCAGCTTTCAGCGAGGACACTTGCGCTAAGTCGACACAGGCAATGATGCTGATGTGGCAATATCCACACACACACACAGATCGAGTGCTCGAGTACGGAGTTTAAGCCGCTCGTCGCTGCTGGGATAAATACCCACAATGGCTGTCGGTGCTCACATGACCACTGGCTGCTCCGAATCGTCAACAAATGCTCGCGCTCTAGTTTCGTCCGGCTGCTCAGGGCGCCGCCTCGGGGTTGGTGGCACGAGAGCCTCCTCCAGCCCGCACGAGAGAGCGGTGCCTCCAGCCCGCACGAAAGAGAGAGAGAGAGCGGTGCCGCTCTCACCCCGCCTGGGCGCGCCTCCTGGCTCGGCACAAAACGCGGCCAAGATCGCGGAGCCGGGAGTGCGAAGCAGCAAATGGTAATTGCGCCCGGGAAAATGGTGCCTCGTTTGTCCTAACGAGAACAAACTCACCCGACATGCGTTGTGCCAGCAACATTTCATGATTTAACTTTGAATGTGAATTCGTTTATTGAGTGGGTTTACTTTTGAATATTGAAGATATTGTTTGGTACTCAATAGCTACTACTAGGTAACTGTTCCTATGCCCACTTAGAAACTGGTCATCAGACAAATGTTTTAATTCGCATCATCAGGTACCCAGGTGTTAAGTGCAGTCTTTAACTCTCATTAACTCTACACACAGCCGCTCCTAATCGGGGCGACCGCCCCGGACCCCGCGCTTTGAGGGGCTCGGCGTGTCGACGCCACGTTCAGAGTATTTGGCTGCTGCTTCAAATTTCCACACGATAGGCCACTTTGATGAGCTATCATGTGTGGCCAAGTATAACTCAGTGGACCTCACCTGGTAAAATCAACGTAGTTTAGTTTGTAATTTAGTGTCAGATGTCGTTTGAAGGCGTCAGGGGGCTTGCAGTGTGATTGCCCCAGACCCAGCACCCCGCTATGGATGGCCCTGGCTCTTTTTATTTGTTTATGTGACGTCTCTGTGTATGAGCTATGAAAAAGGACCATTGCCTGAAACGTCGACGATTGTATATTTTCTTCTTATAAGTCGATGTTGTGAACGAGTGTGTTAAGTTTTTGTGTTTGGGCATCTCTACACTTTAATGTTGTCCTTCTCCTGCACCTCCGATTAGCACGGTTGGCTACGTATGGTGCGAAAAAAGTTTAACATACATACAACATACATACAACATACATACAACATACATACAACATACATACAATACAGCAGTTGTAAGACTTGATAAGAGCCATTGTCTCCCTTCTCAAATAGACAATGGGACACGGAGTCAGCGGTGGAGATTCCACATGCCCAAGACTGACAACAGTCCACAATACAAACACCAGTGTGGAGTAAATCACATTCTATGTATGTACAACATGAATACATAATACAATTAGAAGTAATAAGTGGTGGGTGATATCCACCCACACTGACCAGTGTGGTGAAGTATGGCCAAACCACCCCCGCGTCTTACGTGGCAAAGTGAATCCTTCATGGATCATTGATTTGAAAAAGGGATGGGAAATATTATGATTGTTATGATTATGCTGTTTAGAATAATCGACAACATTTCTACTCGTAGAAAAATTGAGGGAATCAATGAAAACGAAGTATTAAGAGTAAACTCGTGCTGGCAAGTTCAGCGTTGCTTACCGATAGGCAGCACTACAGACACCGTGGCACTTAAACTGTCAGACTGCTCGTGATGTATTATTGAAAGCTGGTTGTCACCATTATGCCTTGAGAACCGACACGAACACAAGGTTGATCAGGACACCCAACACGACCAAACACATTTCCCTTTTTTCAAAATCCAAATTTTTATTTTCAGAGGTTGTGACCTGCAGAGTGGGAAACAAACATTGAGTGGGGTGACTGGTCAATGGTGATTGCTTGCGAGATACACCTATTGACGGATGGATGAATACAAGCATCTTGACTGAAAGCTTTCGTGACTGCAGGAATTCATCTTCTTTGGGTCTTTCGGTAAAGCCGCATAGATAGAATTTTTGTGATTTTGATTTTTTTCGTGATTTTTGTTATTTTTTCTATCTACGTGGCTTTACCGAACGACCCAAATAATACGATTTTACGGCATGTTTCAATGCATCGTCACACTCCTGCCAATGTATTGAATGATGTCGGTTTTCATCATCGCATCACATCCTGTCCGACCTTCACCTCCTTCTCCGGCCCTGCCTTCCTTGCATTCGTCAAGCGGCAATTTGTCTCGTTCTGTCTCTTGGGGCCTCTCGCTCAACATCGCTACCCCTTCCAGAACTTCCTACATCAGCTACCGCCAGTGAGAATGCGTCCAATTCAGATATTACACACAACGAGCTTGCCACGAGTAGAACACAGTGCCTCGCCGCTGATCTCGTCAAAGAGCATCGTGAACTATCGTCACGCCAACTCCTCCGCTCATCCTCGCAGCAGCAGCAGCGGCAGCAGCATCAGCAGAAGCAGCAGCGGCAGCAGCAGCAGAAGCAGCAGCAGAAGCAGCAGCAGCGGCAGCAGCAGCAGCAGGAGCAGTAGCAGAAGCAGCAGCAGCAGCAGCGGCAGCAGCAGAAGCGGCAGCAGCAGCAGCAGCAGATTCTGGCTCAGCCATCGAACAAAGGCGGCGGTCACAGCATCATCGTCGCGCACTTTCAGATGCGCTGCTGCGGCCGTCTGGAACGCTCTCCCTTCCGATATTAGAAAGCCACTAGAGCTATGCACTTGTAAATCGAGTTTTAAAACTAAATTCTTTAGAACTGCTTTGTTGTGTTTAGTTTGTTGTCCCTACCCCGCACCTCTGATGAGCCCGGTTGGCTCCGCACCACGCGAAAGACGTTCAGCACACGTACATGTTGTGCCTATTCTGGATTGTTCTGAGATTGTCTCTCCTCCTGAACCTGCTACAGAATCTCCTCATTACTCTGTTTCTATACTCTTTGGTTCTTTCGGTAAAGTCACGTAGGTAGAAAAATAAAATAAATAATAATATATCACGACGTTTCGATCGAAACACAAGCGGTCGTCCTCAGGCGGAAAATAAGAATGCAGCAGTGGAACTGCTGAACCAGCGAGCGAGTTGTTACAACAACAAGAGCTGGTACATACTCCTTTTCTGTCCACTCATCCGTTTGGTTTCCATTCGCTCTCGACGTATGAACGCGTCTCAGCTCATCACTCCACGTGTAGCTCGAGAGTGAAAGTCGTGCGTGTCAGCCCTTCCGCGTGCACGCCTGTCGCGGGGAGACGGCACCACCTAACACCACCTAACACCACCTAACGCCACCTAACGCCACCTAACACCACCTAACACCACCTAACACCACCTAACACCACCTAACGCCACCTAACCACCTAACACCACCTAACACCACCTAACACCACCTAACGCCACCTAACGCCACCTAACACCACCTAACGCCACCTAACACCACCTAACCACCTAACACCACCTAATGCCACCTAACACCACCTAACGCCACAGAATCTGCGTGCCACTTCAAAGCTCTCCTCGTTCAGAATTGACCAAATATTGAGACACGTAGTCTCACTGGAACCAGAACGGTGGGTGTTAGGGAGAATATATAAATAGTTTTGCATTTATTCTTCTCTACCTGCAGTTATTCATTTCCCATTGAGCTGGCCAGGCGATGCAGTGCTGAGAGAGAGAGAACGCGGTTTGCGATCGGAAGGTTGCGATTTCAAACCTGGCCGGAGATCCACTCGCTCGGAGTGAGCGGAACACGACCGCCGTCCTGTGCTCATTGCCGCGGGCATCCACTCACATGTTTATTATTTCTGTAACAGCCGGACCTGCGCTTCGGCGAGTTACACCACGAGACCATACAGGGCTTGGGGAGATGATAAAGGTTTCGCGTTCGATTGGTGCTATTTCTACTTAGCACGGTCATCCTGAAAACGATCGCGTCTGCTGATGGGCTAGCAAAGTGGCAGGGGCATCGTCAGGCTCATGGGCAATGCCATAAAACCCGTGCAGCATTACTTAAAGAGTGCCCTCTTGATTAAAACTCCTCTGTTGATGTCGTATTTCTGCGCGGTGAATAATCACCCGTGTAATGCGAAGCTGCCGTATTTCTCTCTTTATTATCGAGTCGCGGAATAAAACTTAATTACACCTGATATATTGCTGTACCCTTAATGAGACTTTACTGCAATGCCTGCTGTAGCATTTAAGCCTAATTAAGCAGCGTTGGGTGCTCGCATCAAGGAGAACGATCACAATGAACGCGCCACCGTCAGGGCCGCGAGGTCGATGACGAGAGCAGTTGGCAGAGGCGCAGCCACTGCGGGTGGTGTATGTTGAACTTCTTTCGCACCGTACGTAGCCATCCGTGTTAATCGGAGATGCCGGGGAAGGACAACAAACTCAAACACTAAAATCAGTTCGAAAGCAATGCGTTTTCAATCCAGATTTAAAATCTATATTGTGGGTGTCCGCATGCCCCCACGGTGCGTGGCTCAGAGACACCCACGTGATGCTGGACTGCACATGCTCACCACGCTGGCGACGGAACCATTATCTCCGCAGAAGCGCACGCCAAGTAGCCAGTCGTAGGTGCGTGTGCGTGATGTACGGCATGTACCTGCTGTACAGTTTCACTCGATATACACGGAAAATTGGGGGCGGACTTAGTGCGATCCTTCTGAGACTCCCACCAGGGTCACCCTCAACGTCTTCCATCGTCACCATGAATGAGTCGTCACGTGTTTGACACTCCACCGCCCCTCCTGTGAAAGTTTCCTGGCTTGGTTGGGAGGTTGGGACTGTGGTCCATGGACTCATTTCTTATTTGTTGTGGTAACTCCTTTGTTGTTTGTGCTTTTTTTAGGTGCTATTTCTTTATTTGTATATTCATTTTTCATTTTATTTTTCTTGGTAGCAGGGTTTTCATTTTCTTGGTGTGGCTGTATATAGGATTTTGTCCTTATATATAATACATGTACAGCGTTATGGGATGCAATTAGCATGAATGAGGCTATATAAAATGCCGGTATTATTATTTGGCCAGCAACCCACAACGGCGGATTCATTATTTATCAGGCGCAGAAGATCAAGCCATGGCAGCACAGCTGCCCACGCCTGTAGCATAAATACCTGGGAATCACCACAGTCAAGCAACAGGTCGCTTCTCATCAGGTAAAGTGTCGACCAAATACCCTCTCCGTTCCATAGCTCCTCCTGCTTGTTGGGGGCCTTTCTGGCAGCAGTGGCGTGGTAAGAAATTGGAGTGCTGAAC